GGGCTGTGCTTATCTTGACTCAAAATGTACACATTTTGCAGGATGTCAAGCATATGTTAAATCAACAACAACAGATTGCTAAGCAATATCCTATTTATGTGTGTCTGATGGAAATGCATGTATTGAAGCTAAGATCTGTAAAGAATACTCACAAACATAATGTGAAACAACCCCAAGTATTTCAGGAATTCTGAAATGCAAATGGGACACAACTGCTGGAACATGTAGAGATTACTCCTGTTCTGAAGCTGATGTCAGCTTGAATACTGATATTAAATGTTCAGATTGGTTAGCTGGTTGTGTGACAAAAGGTTAAGGTTGTGTTAACTCTCCAAGACCATCATGTACTACATACACTGGAGATGATGCTGCTTGTTAATCCTATATTGGATCAGATGGAAATTGTGAATTAGCAACTGGAACAACAAACTGTAAAGCAAAGGAATGCGCAAATGCACCAACATCTTTATCTACTGATGATGACTGTAAGGCCTATCAAAAAGGATGTATCACAACTGGTAAAGGTTGTGTTTAAGCAACAACTAAGCCTTTGTGTTCTAGCTACTCTGGTGATAACACTACATGTGTTGGATATGTTGGATCAGATGGAATTTGTGAAGGTGACGCTGGAGGATCTAAGTGTAGATAAAGGAAATGTGAAAATGGTGCATTCAATACCGATGATCTTTGCAAGTAATATTAATCTACTTGCAAGACCAACGGAAAAGCTTGTGTTTCATCGCTATCAGCCTGTAACACATACAAGGGAACTGCTACAACTTGTGCAGTTTATATTGGTACTGATGGCTATTGCAAGGGAACAAGCACAACAGCTGAAGCTGCTTGCGCACCAAAGGTTTGCGACGAAGCTCTAGATACAACTACAACAGACGAGGCTTGTGCCAAATATTAGGTTGGATGTGTTACAACAGGAAAAGGATGTATTTCAAAGACCAATTTGAAATCTTGTACTACTTATGATGGAGATGCCACCAGTTGTTAATCAAGAGTAGGATCTGAAGGAAAATGTACATGGAAGAGTGGAACCAAATGTGTTGCTAGAGATTGTGTTTCTGCACCAAGTTCTGTAAACACAAACCCACTTTGTGCCAATTATTTCACTAAATGTGTGACAACAGGATCTGGATGTGTTTCATAAACTACTTGTGATTTAACAGTCAAATAACAAAGTTGTGAAGGTACTGACGGCTGTTCCTGGTAACCAATATGTACTAGTAATGCATAATGCTCTGATTTTAAGAAGAAATCAATTTGTTTGGCAAACCAAGCTAGAGTCGAAACTTTTGTTAAGTATGATGATAATGGAAAAGCCGTCTACAATTATGTATCTACAAAATGTGGTTGGTTAAATAATGCTTGCAAAGTTTTGGCATGCTCAGATTTAACAGGAGCTTATTACAATAATGATGCTAATTGTTAAGCAGAACTACCATCATGTATCAGTAATAGAGTTGATGGATGCATAACCAAATAAGATTGCGGTAAACTTTTTGGAAATCAAGCCACTTGTTTAAGTTACCCAGGATATTGTACCAATGTATCAACAGCCACTGAAACCACTGCTTGTATCTAAAAGAAGTGCTCAGATAATACTGATACTAATGCCGATAATGCTGCATGTGCTACATTCTTACCTGGATGCATTAGCAATGGAAAGGGCTGTATTGATTACACTACCCTTTGCACATCTATGAAAGGTACATAGGAAACATGCAACAAGTTATATGCTTATAAGAGTGGAGGTTCCTTTGATACTTTAGTAACAAATCAATGTTATAACACATCAACAGCAACTGAAAATGATTTCTGTTAAGTGAAAACATGCAAATTGGCTACAAACCAAACTGATAGTTCATGTGGTTAATTCTTAGAAGGATGTGTTTATAATGGAAATGGAGGATGCGTTGATCCAAAAGCTAGTGATACATCTTGTGGAAGCTATACAGGTGTCTCAGCATTTTGCTCCACAGCCATTGTTAAAGATAATAGTGCTGGATATTGTTTTGGAACAGCCACATCAGGTACTTGCACCTAAAGACAATGTACAGATGACACAACAAGCACTAAAGATGACTAATGTGATACCTTCTTATCAGGATGTATTGCTAAATCTGATGGAGGTTGTGCTAAGAGAGACTCAAGAAGCTGCGCCTAATAAACAGGAACAGTTACTACATGCTCTAATTTCAGCGGTGGATTATAAGTTGATTCAAAATGGAATAAGATTGCATGCGTCAAATATGATGCTTGTTAACTTAGAGGATGCACAGATAAAACCAATCCTTAAACAGCCTAGGATTGTTATGATTACAAAACATCATGTAGATTCTTTAAGGCCGGAGCTGCCTGTATCGATGCAGTAGCTTGTAGCAGTTACACCCTTCCTGATACAGCCACAACTGAACAATAGAAGTTTGATTATTGTACAGGAACCAAAAATGCTAGTGGAATACTATGTGGTTATACAAAGGGAGCAACTAAGTGTTCAGATAGAACTTGTGACTAATTTTTGAGCACCTATACCACCTTAGCATGCAGTTCATATTTGTAAAAGAATGTATCCACTACAGGTGATGATGTATGTTCATCAGCTGGAACTTATTGTTATTTACAAGATAAAACTGATTGTGCATACGCTTTCCCCTCTGGAATCTTGGAGGCTGATAAATTAAGTTATTGCTAGAAATTCAAAGACAAGACAGGCATATTATGCTCATATAAAACTTCAGATGCAGCTTGTAGTGCATAAGACACTTGTGAGAAGGTAGTCTCTCAGACATCTGCTGTGGCTTGTAATGATGTACTAGTTTATGAAAAAGCAATATGCTAAAGACCTACTCCAAGCACAAAATGCTTATCTACAGTTACTGCATGCTCAGCCTTTACTCTAGAAACAGGGCTTACTGATGCAAATAAAAAGACAATCTGTGAATCTTTGAGACCAGTTGATGCTACTGCTAATTTTGGTACTGGAACTGCAGTATATTCTTGGTGTACTTGGGTAAGCGGTGCTAATTGCGCAGATATTACATGCAGTGCTATATAATCACCAACCAGTTAAACTGATTGTGACAAAAAAAAGACAGGATGTTATTATTATGCTTCTAAATGTTATGACCCAGTTGCTGCTAATGCTTGCCCAACAACATTTCCAACTGGTGTAGACACAGATATCAAAAAGGTGAATTACTGTAAATCAGTATATGAAACAGCCAAGGGATTCTGTGAGATAAAAAAAGATGGCTCAGGTTGTCAAACTGGAGCTAATGATAAATGCACTGTAATTCTAACAGACGCTTGGACAGGTAACTTTATGGGTGCTGCAGTAACAACTGCTGCTATCTGCCCAACTTTATCATCGAATGATAAAACAAAACTCTGCATAAAAGATGGTGATACGGCTTGTAAAGCAGGAGGAACTTGTGAAGACATCCCATCCCCAAACAATCAAGGAGATTGTGATTTACATTTAAAGGGATGTGTATATGCAGCTACTAAATGTAGAACACCAAAGTTAGCGACAATTGCGGCTGCAGGAGATTGTGCAAAAACAACTATTGTTCCATTTGCTGCTGATGTTACTGGTCTTTCTGGAAGTGAAAAAACAGCATATTGTTAAATCTTCTCATAAGATGGAACACAGCTCTTTTGTACTTATGATTAGTATAATGACACAACATAAACAGTTTGTGCTGATGCGGGTAATTGTGATACTTACAAATTACCAACAGGTGATGAAGCAAGAAAAACTTATTGTTTGAGTAAGATCACCGCTGCTGGTAAAAAATGTGGATTCACAGCAGGAAAAGACAAATGTAGAGATTTTGATTGCTAAGATATTTCAAGTCCAACATCATAAGTCGATTGCGATCTCAATTCAAATAAATTAAAATGTTTTTACTTTAAAGGAACATGTGTCAATCATGCTGCAACTTGTGATGTAGTTCCAGTTGTTGGAGGAACATTAAGTGATAAACAAGCATACTGCAAAGGTCTTGGTCTTACAGATAAATGTACTTATTCAGTTGGAGCTTATTGTGCAAAAGTGGATGCATGCGACAAATATAGTGTGAAAGATGTAACAGATAAAACTGCTACCTGCGGAACTTTAGTTAATGCAACTGGAGCAAAATGTACATACATTTAGGGTGATTTCTGTGTCAAATAAGATACATGTGATAAATATGATGGTAGTACACCAGTAAATGGACCAGAAGCAGGAAAAGAGGAGGCTTAATGCAAAGCAGTTAAGTCAACTACTGGATATCCATGCATAGTAGATTCTACTAAACCTAAGTTATGCAAAGCATAGACTTGTGCTGATAATAATGCCAGTGCCGCAGAATGTAGTAGTAATGCTGCTGATTGCCTCTATTATTAGAGCAAATGCATCTCAAAAAATACTTGTGGTGGTTACACCCCAGTAGGTGATGATCCTACAGCTAAATAAACTTGGTGTGAAGGAGTTTAGAATTCTACTGGAGACTATTGTGCTTGGGATTCAGCAACTTCAAAATGTAAAGATAGAGGTTGCGGCGATAAATAATTTTATACAGATTTTGATTGCTAAAATTACCTTAAAGCCTGTAAGACTGATGGAACCAAGTGCGTTGCAGTAGCTACAGCATGTACTTCATTCAGTGGTTCAGGAGATTATTGCAATGGTTTATTGGATCCAACAGGTAAAGATAAATGCAAACCATTGGCCACTGCTACCACCACAATTTCTGCATGTGCTAACAGAACATGTTATGACAATGTAACAGCCGAATCTGATCCTGATTGTGATACCTATTTGAGTGGATGTGTCACACGTGGAAAAGGATGTATTCCAAATACAGTTGCATGTACAGCATACAGAGGAACCAAAACATAATGTGAAGCTTTCAAATAATACACTGGAGTAGATGCTAATAAGAATCCCATTTATGTTTATTGTTCTGGTGATGCTAGCAACATTGCCACTAGTGCTTGTAAATCTAGAACTTGCGCAGACAATACAACATCTACCTCAGATACTGAATGTGCATAATATTTGAAGGGTTGTATTACCAAAGGAACTGGATGTGTTGATGCAACATCATAATGTACTGTATTTAAGGGACTTTAAACAACTTGCTCTAAATTCATGGGAAATTCAGGCAAAGATTACTGTTGGAATGCTTCAAATGCAGTGGAAACAGCTAGTTGCCAAAAGAAGAAGTGCACTGATATTTCTGGTAAAAACAACGACGAATGTTAGAGTGGCATGCCAGTATTCAAGAAAGGCGATGATCCTTTCTGCGTTTATGATGGAGCTGGTTGCGTTGATTATGGAAAGATTTGTAGTTAATTCAACGGAACTGAAGAAACATGTCCCTCATTCTTGGCCAAAGATGGTCCATGCAAGGCTACTACAGTAGGAACTATCAAAGGAGCATGTGCTAAGAGAGTATGCACAGAAGCACCTAATACTATTACCACTGATGCTGAATGTTAGAAATATCATTCATCTTGTTATACAACTGGTTATGGATGCTCTTCTGTTAAGCAATGCTCAAATTTAACAAGCCAAGCCTCATGCAAATTGAGAGAGGAATGCACATGGGCCAATTTATGCGCAAGTTCAAGTACTACATGCTCTACTTTTAATGGTCAAGGTTACTCATAATGTACCAATTCTAAAGTCAATGGTAAGTTCTGTGCTTGGTAAGAGTCTAGCTCAACTTGCAGAGCTTAAGTCTGTGAAGATCAACCAGCAACCATTGCTTCCCATGCTCAATGCCAAGCATTTTCTGATAATTGCACAACAACTGGAGCTGGCTGTATAACTATTACCACATGTCCATTATACAAAACTCAATCTATCTGTGTTGCTGCCTCAGCATCCAAGGATGGAGTTCAAAGATGTGGTTGGGATGCCACTTTAAATAAATGCAGAGCCAGAGCTTGCAGTGACAAAAATGGATTAACTGACGACGAGTGTAACACTTTCTTGGCAGGTTGCAAGACAAACGGAGTTGGTTGTGTAGCTGGAACCTCATGTACTGAGTTCACTAATAAATCATTCTGTCTCATTTCTAAAGCTGGACCATGTCTTTGGGTTAATCAATCATGTTATGATTACGATAGATGCGAAGATGCAGTCAAAAAGTCACACCCAGAATGCTAAGCATTTTCACCATTATGCACAACCAACGGAGAAACATGTATACCCATCACATCTTGTGCCAATACAGCAATTAAGGCTTCTTGTGTTGTTGGAACTGATGGTCCTTGTGGATGGTTGCCAACTGGAAAATGTTAGAAGTTTGGATTATGCACAGATGCTGTCGCTGCTACCAATGATGAATGTATGTCTTATGGAACTACTTGTATTACTGATGGAGCAGCTTGCATTGCCAAAACCACTTGTGGTTCATACAAGACATAAACAGCTTGCAATAACAATGGAACCGATGGTATTTGCTATTGGAATGCCACAGCTAATACTTGTAAATTGAAGGAGTGCGGCGATGAGCAAAAGGGTACAAATGACCAATGCAAACTCATCTCTGTCACTGGAGGATCATGCACTACCGATGGAACCAAATGCATCCCATTATCCACTTGCTCAAGCTACCTTGAAGCTGGATGTTTCACAGGAACCGACGGAGAATGTACCTTTGCATTACCAATTGGAGCTACCACTGGAACCAAGGCCTGCAGATAGAAGCAATGTGAAGACATCACTGGAGGAACATCAAATGCTAATTGTACAGGTATCATCACAGGAAAGTCTTGCGTATCCAATGGAACCAATTGTATTGCCAAGGCTGCTTGCTCAACCTATAAGACCCTTACTTCATGTAATGGAGGTGGCTTAGAAAATAATAAAGCAACTGTTTGTGCCTTCACTCCCACTGGAACTGATAAAGTCAACGGAACTTGCAAGACATTCACAGCATGTGCTGATGCTGTCAAAGACAAATTAGCTTGCTCAACCAATCTATCATGCAAATGGACTGAAAACTCAACTGGAACATCTTGTGCCAATCACGCATGTGACACCTTTGCCACAGGAACAGACTGCAGACCAATTCCCAGCTTTGATGGTACTTCATCCACTGTTTGCGTTCTCCAAAGTGGAAAATGTGCTGCTGCTGACCCAGGAACCATGACAGATGCCAAGATTTGCTACGTCAAATCAGCTTACACTTATAGTTGGAATTCTGCTACCAATAAATGTGAAAGTTGTATCTCAGGATCTGTCAATCCAAACAATTCAAATGGAACAAACAACAACACAGATAACGGTACAACTACCACCGACAGTGCTTTCATCTTGTCAGCCATTTCACTCGGTCTTTTGGGATTAATGGCATGATTTTGATTTTCATATTATATATAGGGAAAATATTAACATTACAATTTATTTTCATCTCTTAAAACAACTTATTATTTAAAATAACACAGTTCACATTGCAAGATTATTATAGAAGTATATATTTCATCTCCAAGTGTATATTAAATTTGATTATTCTCATCAGAGTTTATCAACATTATTATTTGTTGCCTCTGTAATAGATATTTTCTAGAATATAGTTTCATCATTATTCTGAGATAAGTGATGTTATTAGAGTATCATTATTGAGAAAACTAAAGACACCCTTTCATTCCTAATAAAGAGATACCTTTCTGTCTGCCCATGGTTCAATTAAGCATACATATATTGCTTCTTCAAATTAGAACATGGATTTGATTGAATAAAAGTGATGAAAGAAGCATAATCTTACTTCTTCTCTTGCTAAATCTAAATAAGATGCTTCATTTGATATATTTTAGTCTATTTTAATTAATAAATTTGTTTAATAAAAGCCTTATCAATATTTAAGATGTGGAAGGAGTTTTGCAGCTTTTGCAGCTTATTTAATTGTATTAAACCCAGGGATAAACGAATTGAGCCAGAAAGGCCTCAGATACCTGACGATTCAGAAGAAGTCAATAATTAAGACATCAAGAATAATAACAGAGAGTTGCAAAATCAACCCAATGTAAATATTAATGAAGAAGTTTATATAACTCGGAAATTTACATACTTTGAGGGTTTTGAAAAAGTGGAGATCAAAAATGACAAATATGATAAATTAATGATCTTTACAAATATATTGTTTTACTATTGTGAGGAGAGAACAGAATAGAATCAATTTAACCAATATGAAGGTGAATTATACAAGACTAAATATGACGAGGATATAAATCCGAAATTTGTGTTTGAATAAGGAATGTTTTAAATCAATTTAGAAGAAAAGTCCTTCAAACTAATTCAAGAAAGCATAGAACAACCAATTGGCATAACTGAAGACTTTGATGAAAAATCAAATAACTTAATGAATGATTAAAATGATAGGTTTTAGGATAACAATAAAAGAAAGATTAGGATTAATGATGCAGATACACATAAATAAGTAAATATAAACCATTCAGGTGATAACTATTAATTGCATAACTAAAAAAAGAATTAACAAATGTTCTGTAAGTTCAATTAATCGTTAACAACTAATGATGTGAATATACTATCTGAAAAGAAATGGATGACAAGCAGTATCATTGATAGTTATGTACTTTATCTAAACAAATCTGGAGAAGAGAAATATTTCGCATTACAATAAGAGTAAAGAAAATCTATTAGAAGAATTCTATTTTTTCCTTCTAGTCTGACCACAAACTTTGGTTTGAATTTCGATTTATCTAAAGTAAAAGGGTTATTTGATAACGAAAAACCTTAATTTAAATAAATAAATTTTAAACTCTAATTATTGTATCACTATATTGGATTCCCAATCAATAAAAATAATAATCATTGGTTATTTCTATTATTTGACTTAAATTCTAAAAAGGTTTTTGTTTTTGACTCAATGAATAAAAACTTGTCATTTAAAGAATAAATAGACTTAATTGCTGAAATTCTTAATGTAAAAAATCCTAAACATATTCTACATCAACATTCTGACCAATAAAAAGATGGTTATTCCTGTGGGTATCGTGTTTGTAGTCTAATGAAATTCTATTATGAAAATTAATTTTAAGAAACAGATGAAGCTAATTATAAATATAACGAATAGAAGATAATTGATGAACTAAAAACCTTAATAAAGATGTGATGATTATAAACTTTTGTATAATAATATTTATTAAATTTCCAGTCTTTTTTGAAAATTAAGGCTTATATCTTTCTTTATCAAAAGTTCCAATTTAATCAAATTTTTTTATGGTCTATATATTTTTGATTAATCCTGATTAACTTTGAATAAGGCATTATGTGTTTCTGTGAATTCGGTTTCATATGTATTGCAATAATTTAAAAATAAATTTCATGTTTATAAATTAATATGTGGCTTTTTACAAAAATTAATGTATAAGGTCAGTGCTTACATCTTAGATGGATTCAGTTATTTACTATTTTAATATTTCTAAAATTGTTATTTTTTCATAAACCATTAAAAACTTTATATACACCAAATAAATAAGAAAAAGAACACAAAAACGAATAATTTCATAACTCAATTGCTTATTGCATATTTTCGCAAATCTTATTGGGTCCTTGTATTAGTCTTTTTGAATATAGTGTATTTTAAGCTGCTGAACTTAAAACAGGCACTTTAATTCTATTTTGTTAAGTTGAGGTATAGCATTGACAAGGAACAGATTATTTGCTATCCTAAAACTTTTCTAAATAGTCTTATGTGTGCGATTCACATATACCCATATATTAAGCCAAAATAATTGAATTTTTAACTTTAAATATCTAACTTAAGAAAAGAGATAAATTAACGGATTTTATAAATAATTGATAAATATTTAACTGTTAAATCAACGTGATCATTTTCAAAATCAAATTATAAGTGATAGCCCTATATTCAAAAACAAGTCGTGTATCAGTTTGCTTTTGTTAAATCATAAATAAGACCTACTAACAGTTTAGAAGAACAGAAAACACGTGTTATCATCATTAATTTAGAATCTCAAATTGGCAAATAGTCAAGATTGATTTAAAAAACATTCTCCATTTTTAAGAATTAGTTGATTAGAAGAAACTTCCTTGATTACTTTAGGATTTTTATTCTTCAATTTAAATTTGTAATTTATTGTTTAAAATTTACATAGGTCTTTTCAATCAAATTACTCTTAATTTTGATATATACATTATGCAACAATTCAAAATTATCAAATTCAAGAATAATTATCATAACCTTTGAAAATTGAAAATTTAATAAACAACTTAATAAATTACAATTTATTGAATTAATTTTATTAAATAATGCTTCATGCTTCTATCTCAACATAGGGTCAATATTTAATTTACTAAAATTGATTATTATGAATAATAATCAAAATTAATACATTATTTACGTATATAAACTGCTACTTCTATATCGTTCTTTATTTATGATATAGAAGCTGAAATCTTGTATAGTTGTAAGCAATTCTCAAATGAGAGTAGCTTAAGGCGATAATTACTTCGCTATCAAATAATTTATCTTGAATATATATAAATTAGATTTATTTAATGATTCTTAATTCATATTAATTATTAATTCTTAAACTCAAATTTCTTTTAATATTGTTGAATTATAACATAAAATTACTTATTCTAAATAAACATCATTAGAAGTTAAAATACTGTGTAGTAAAGAGCTATTGGAGAACTTAAAAGGGAATTATTAATTTTAATTCAAGAATGAGGCCTCTAAATTTGAAATAACTTATAGGCTATTTTGTTTTGTTAATTCTCTTTGGTATAAAATAATAATGAAAATAACAAATCTTAAGGTAGAAAATAACATTTGATTTAAGCTATTGTTTCTAATATTCAGAAAAACGTGTCATTAACAAAATTTTCTATAAATAAAATTGATATACAATAAAATGTACAAATTCAATAAATCTTACAACAACATCCTCCTTCAGCTTTAATTCTTTCATCTCTCAAATGATTTTATGCCTAGTTCGCTGATGAAAGACTCAACTTTCCACTTTTCATTTGAACCAAAACTCTTTTTGTGAGATCCTCAATTACTAAGTCTACATTTTATCCTGTCATACAAGAAATCTCAAAATATGGAATATGTAATTAATTTGCCATTTTTTGTGCTTCTTCTTGTGATTCTTGATAATAATGATGGTCTGATTGATCAGATTTGTTTCCAACTAATATATATTCGACATCTAAATTTTCAAATCAAATCATACTCTAAGGTGCATGCATTACAATCTTAGTCATATCTTCTTTCAAATCTGCTAAGGTATAAGGCCTATCATTTTATTAAGTGATGTTTACCTTGTAAGATCAAAAATTAAAATAAAACCAAAAGCTGATTTATAGAATCCATATGAAGCAAATCTTAACTTTTCACTTCCAGGCTATGCTGTAGATTTAACATAATACTGTATCAAAAATGCAAAGCTTGTATTTATCATCTTCAATCATTTTGGATTTAAAATCCATTCCTTTACTTTCTTCATATTTAGAGTCAAAATTGTTTTCACAACTTCGAGTTAGAAAGGCAGTCTTACCAACCTCGTTTGATCCAATCAACATATATTTGATCACTTCAAATTTCGCAGACATTATGTAATTTTTGATAATTTTTATATCTAACACAAAATTTAGAATTAAATGAAAGAACTTAACAATTTATGCTTTTTATCCAAGATAATTAGAATTCAAAGCAATTTCAAAATAAGAAATATAATAGTTACTTTAAATAATCCTAAGAATTCAACACAGGATTGTAAAATATTTGGAAATAGCAAATTTATGGAAATTAATTATATTTGGAAAAGAAATTTGAATAAACAAGATAAAGATAGTTAATATACTCATTTGAGATATTAATTATAATAATAATAAGACTCAGTTTACTATTTAATACATTAATCCATCTAATAGTAGCTAGATGATTAAAATATACAATACTAATTTTATTTCATAATTATCAACTATTGAATAATTTTCCTTTAATATTATCTATAAATATGAATTTTCAATGTAAAAGTAATGGCCTACTCAAATTAAATCAAGATATTAATGCTATTAAACATCTAAGTTTGAATCCAATATGTTTTATTAATAATTCAAACTATTTATTTTATAATATTATGATTAATAATTAAATTAAAAATGAAACATTTTTCATATTATTCTGAGGATATTTATACTTATGAAAATTTGGATGAGTTAAAAAAAATTCTATAATTTGATGAGATTGGAGAAATAGAATACAATTAGGAAGATGAATACATTTAATATAAAATTAATAGAGAAGAATGCATTCGATTAAGTGATCTAATTTATTTTATAGTAAATATTTTTATTAATATAGTCATCTAATCTAGGTAGGATACATTTAGGCCAATTATTGGTCTTAATTAAATCCTTAGTGTCAAAAGTTTAACAATTGAAATCAGCTAACTTCGATCATTTATACTTAGACTCTAATAGAATTTGGCTTAAATTCAATAATAAACAGTAAACATTAAATAGTAAATACTAAATTTTTTAATATACTGTTCATTTCACTGGTTATTAATGTCCAAATTATGAAGATTTAAATGAAAAAGAAAATTTACAAATAACCTCGTCATAAAAAATATTACTAATTATAAAAGGTCTAATTGATAACTGCTTTGATAATATCATACTAGATAAAACTAAAGAAAGAACAAATGTAAAGAATGATATTATTGATCCAATATTACATGAAATAAGTACCAAAAACTTAGATTAATTGATTGAAGAAATCAATTCTATTTTATAGAAATATCAATATGATAAAGAAAAATAAACTATTTTAGTTGATGAGTATGTTGAAACAATACTTGAGGTTAGGCATGATTTACAAATAGGGTATAAATTAGACATTTAATAAATAATGAAAACTAAAAAAAATATGGAAACTATTACTGATGCTTATTTAATAGAATATTGTTTATATTTAAATATTCCGAAAATAGTTTAAGGGTTTGAAAATTCTACAAATTTCTAAAGAATTGAATATGTTGGTGAGAAGACTGTAGAATTTTTTGAATAAATTTAATTGAAAATCTAAAATGAAAGATAAAATTACATTGAAGAATTAATTAAATAAGAAATTGAAAAATAATCTGAATACTATGTATAGTTTTATAGATTCGACTTTGATTTAGAACAAGTACGTGAGGTAATTACACCATTAATCAGAAATCATGCAATAATCAAATATTTTCACAATACCTTTACATATAATTTTAAGTATACAGAAAAGCCATATATTGATATTTAAGATACTCACAAATCTAATGTTAATAAACTTTAATAAGCAATGTAAAAATAGATTTCAAAAATAATCCCTCTTTATACATAACAATGTTTAAGCATGAAAATAACAACCCTTATTTTAGAGCTGATAAATGATTTGATTTGATCCAAATTATGATTAGTTTAAATTAGAAAATTAAACATTAACACATACTACATTTTTAATTCCAATTTTTTCATTCTTTACTAATCTTAAAAATATTCAATCCTGAATCACAATAATTAAATTGTACGAATCAAATCAATATTATATATTTCTTTTGATACTCCTAAACTTATAAAGAAGATAATTCTTAAAGTATAAAATTGTTCTAAGGTTTTATACTTCATAAAAATACTAATTGCTTTTCTGGTCCATAACATTCCTCAAAACAAAAATATTAATAATTATCATCTTCATTCTAACCAGTACTCTATAATAACATTAATGCTTTATTTTACTCAATTGGACGAAGGCATGAGCTAGAGTATTCAGAATAATGATTCTTTTTTAATTAAATATCAGATATTGGGAATCCTACAAGTACAATTGCTGATCTAGACCCACATTATTATTTCTAAGTGGATTGATTATAAGTAAACCTATAAAGACTAATATCACAAATGAAGTTCTTAATTGAAAGATACATTTATTCTTTAGACATACAATTAATTAAAATAATTAATTATTCAAAGTTATACATCATAGACAAAAAATATAAATAATAAGGATATATTCGAAATTATAAGAATCACTATCTTTAAGAGTGACCTTCCACTCAGTTAGTTCCAAAAGGTACAACACGTGG